TTAAGAAGTCGAGCGTCTCTAAGCAGGAGAGGAGATGGGGTGGAAGTCGTGTGCCACAAGCAGGGGGGAGATGGAGTGAAAGTCGCTTCGTGTGGAAAATTGTAAAATATACTTTAAAGCAGAAAATTCCGAATTTTCCGAATTCGAGACCGACACGAGAGTCTCGACGAGACTCTCAGTATATTGAATATTCGTATATAGTGGGGAAATATATAGACGTACAAGTTCATGCGACTAAGATATTTACTTCAAGCATATGAAGATTACTTATCAGGTATTATCATTCACAAAAAAGAGACAGAAAAATAATATAGTAAAAGAAAATATTGTAATATATTTTATAAAAGATATTTTAAATACAGAATCTTTGATTTCGCCTTTTTCCTTTGCTGGATATTCTTATCCTGTCTAGTGTCTTTTGAAAAAAAATTTTGTAAGTCAATCATTTGAAAAAATTATTATTTTGTATGTAAATCAAATTTTAATGAAAATAGTCTTCGAAACTTATCCTTATAACCTTCGTCTTCGACGAAATCCAAAAATAATACAGTAGCCTTCTTTAAAAATTTTCTCTAAATTTGTTAAAAGATTATATATATATATATGTATATGCATAGACTATTTTGATAAAAGTTTAAGAATTAAAATCTTTAATAAATTTAGTTACTTATAAGATTAGTTATTATATTGCAGTACTTTAATATTCTGAAATTTATCTTTAAGACTACAAATCAGCCAAGAATTTATGCATAAAATATAAATAATTGATTCTTTATTTCATCTTTTTCCTTCTTTCTTTAATTTAAAAATGCATAAATTATACACTCCGTCGTGTTACGAATCGTACAAATCTTTATATTGGGTGGATCCATATATTCGGTTTTTGTTAGTAGTGCAAATGTTTTCCGAATATCTCCGGTTCTGGTTACCTAATCGAGCAATCCAAATATGTTTTGGAAAGGTGATAGTCCGCTCTTTTCATCTGTCAAATTTGGTTTCATTGGCATTAGTTTTGTTTGTGCTACAGGCCTGTGAACATGTCGGAGAATAAGGTGCATTTTCGGCACATTTTGCTTTATTACTTCAAGAAAGGCAAGCGAGCTGCGGAGGCCCACTGAAAGATATGCGGCGTATACGGGGACGATGCCTTAACAGAACATGCCGTTCAGAAATGGTTTGCTAAATTTCGTTCCGGAGATACGAGTCTTGAAGATGGACCCCGCAGCGGTCGGCCCACCGAGGTTGATTCGAATGATATCAAGGCACTAGTTGAGCAAGACCGGACGCTAAAGGTGCGAGAGATTGCGGAGACACTTAAAATAGGTTATGGAACCGTACAAAGTCATTTGCAACAGCTTGGCTACGTGTCCCGCCTCGATGTTTGAGTGCCGCACAAGCTGGCCGAGGAGAATCTGGCCAACCGCATATTCATCTGCAATTCACTTCTGAAGCGGCACGAAAGTGACCCTCCAACGAATAGTGACTGACGACGAAAAGTGGATTATCTATGACAACAAAGTGCGCAAGAGATCGTGGGAAACCGCTGGCGAGCCGAATATCACTCCGAAGGAAGTCCTGCCGAAGAAAATTTTGCTATTCATATGGTGGGATCATCGTGGTGTGCTGTTTTACGAACTACTTCCTCAAGGAAAAACGATCGATTCGAAGGTCCACTGCACGCAGCTAACGAAATTGAATCAAGCATTGCGACAGAAAAGTCCAGAACGCCCAGAAGAAGGTCAATCGCAAAGGTGCCATATTCCACCATGACAACGTCAGACCCCACACCGCAATAATCTGGCTGGGATGTTTTGCCTCACCCACCGTATTCACCAGACCTTGCGCCATCCGACTACCACTTGTTCCTGTCCCTGCAAAACTCCCTCCACGGGAAATCGTTCGCTGATCAGACAGCTGTGAAAATGTACCTCGACCGGTTTTTCACCTCTAAGCCCCAGACCTTCTATGAGAGCGGAATAATGAAATTGTTGGAAAGATGGCAAGAGGTCATCAACAAAAACGGAGAATATATCATTGATTAAAATTCATCCTTTGTATGAAAAAAACTTGTTTCATTTTAGCCTTCAAAACGAATATATGGATCCACCCAATATTTATCTGTGTATAAATACTATATAATTTTTAACACGTTATATTTTGAATGTTATATACGATATTTTTTTTAATTGTATATATTCGCGCCGGCGCTTTAGACTCACCTAGTACGAAATAGTTAACGACAAATATTCTATATCTATATAAATATAAATATTGATTTTATGATATTTTATTGTACTAAAAATTAAATAACTTTTCAATTGAAAATGTGTCATTACGTGATACATTTTGCTATTTACTCAGACGAAATATTTTACTATTATGTATTGTTATTATTTTTATAATTAAATATGTGAGATATAGGCAATTGAGAGCAAACGCAGTTAGATTTAGCGTACATATATTTTCATTCATAAACTCAGTGATCAGTTTATAACATTTATTATTAATACGAACGTTTCGACTTCTTTTTAAGTCATCTTCAGCATATCTATCTAGTTTTTAATTAAAATTGTTTCATTACTTGGTAGGTTGAGATGATTGACAATTCCAGTATTGAAAATAACCTTAATCAGCTGTGACTGTTAAGATCTAAAATGTGTGTTGTTATAAATAAGAAATTCAAAAGAAATTTTTACATGATACAGCTGTTATTTCATTGTACTCACCCAACATACCAAGTATAACATTGTAAGAACGCCATAATAATGATACAAATTTAATAAGATTTATAAAATTCATTTTAGAATATTGCGTTAATTCCTTGCCACAATTCAAGTCGGAATCACTTAGTCATTACCAATAATACATAAATATTGAGAGCCTTTGTTAAATCAAAATTTTGATATTTTTATAATATTTCTAAACTATTATAAATGGCATACACATTGTTATTATTGAAAGAAATTTGGTATATTTTTATTAATTTGGTATAAGAATACGCAAATTAAAAAAAATATTACAATTTTGTATACAATTATTAAATTTTGTATTGCTTACTTAATGATAAATTATCTTAATAACTTATCTTTAATAATAATAATCACAAAATGCAACTTTAAATAAAATCATTAAAAAAATATCCTTTAAATCAGATATATTCATTTATTTTTTCAAAAAATTGAAATTACTAACACACAAATTAATAAAATAATTAAAAAAATTTAATTAATTAATAAAATAGTAAAAAGAATTTAAGTTTAATTGCAGACCATAGAAGAAATCGAAAAAAACATTTATTATGATTATCGAGACCGAGAGTCTCGACTCGAGACCAAGACCGAGACGAGAATGGCTACGTTTACACCATGCATTTAGGCCGCGGCCTATGCAATAGATGTCCTTGTTTATCCTGTATATTAAACAAAGACACCTATCATATAGGTCGCGGACTAAGCACACGGTGTAACTGGACTAAACGTAGCCATTGTCACCATTGTCGGTGTCGAAACCAAGCCGATACCGGGACGAGACTGAAAACTTCGAGATCAAAACGAGACGAGATTTGAACTAGTCTCGTCTCGTCTCGACAAGATCGAATCACTAAATTTTACATGGAAATTACATATATATGACTGGAAAATTATCTAAATTACATAAATATGTTCGGAAATTTACTGGAAATTGTAAATTTCCAATCATATTTAGGCAATTTTCCAGTCATGAACATGAAATTTCCATGTAAAATTACATGCATTTTTTTCAGTAGAGACATAATTTTTCAAACTTTTTTTGTTGATAATTTTTTAATCAAGGACGAGGGACGGCTAAAATGTAAAACCTGTTGTAGGTCACTCAGGATCTTAACGACATATGTCAAGGTCAAAGTGAGAAGACCTCAATGGAGAAGGGTCCCCTCATCTTAACGACATATGTTAAGGTCAGGGTGAGGAGACCTCATTGGAGAAGGGTCCCCTAATATGGAGTATTATTACAATTTATTTTCTTTCAACAGCATTATTTTCATCCATTAGTTTCACTTAAAATTTATGTTCTTTCCGTAATAATGACATTTTCTTTTCATAATGCCAACATCATTATTTTCACAGTCCATTAATTTTACTTTCAAAATTTATTTTCTTTCCATAATACTCACAAAATATTGAGTATATTCTCATGATATGGTGTTGGTTCGATTTACTTTCCTTTTCAGATGTTGACAGCCATTTGACTATACTGAAAATCTATCAATGGATACTATCCAACTAATTTAAAAATTTGACGGGTTTTAAGCTTTAAAATGCTTTTTCGATTTATTTTTTGCGACGATTTTTCACCGAGTTATGGTGTTCTGAATATTGCGCAATTTTGAGCGTGTTCAAAAGTGCCCTATTTTTTGTTGAATAGATTGCACAGCTTTTATATGAAGCAAATATTATTACAACGTGACAGCTTTGGAGCACCATATTTGATTAAGAAATGGTAAAGAAGATCTCAATTTCAAAATTTTTTGTCGTTCTCAGTATAGATTCTATCTCACAGACACATATTAATGCGTATACTTCTTTAATCCTGGAAAAGGATTTCCGAATCAGTAAAAGAGGAAAAAAGTAATTGTTATACAAAAATTATATATAGTTTAGTCGGTCATACAGACGACTTTAGGATCCTCTTAACGCAGTTATTAAATTAACAAAATTATTTTCAATGAAAATAATGCTATTGATATAACATCATTTTTTTTAGTGACATGTTGAAAGTTCAAAAGTAAATGACCGAATCTACCTGCGATAAACACAAGCTTATGTCAGATTTATTTGCTATCCTGAGCCACGAAATAAAGTTTGCTCGAAGAGATTTTGTAAAAAAAAAAACAGACGCCAAGTTTAACCGCGACGCTTTAAATTCTTCCCCTCCTCTCTCCTGATTACGATAGTGGGGGTAAAAAGTTACACTCGCGCCTTTTCACCGACACGTCGAACAGTCACGCGCGGACCGCCGCGCCGATCTATGTGTTTTATCGCGGAGTGTCGTTTCTCGCGTTAAGACTCCCGCGGAATTCGTGGATCGATAACACGTATTGTGGTTGCGATAACACGTGTGCTCGATCGATCGTCCCATTTCGGTTACCGGCGCGATCTGTAGGACTTTGTTACGCTCGTCGGTCGTCATCGGTGGAAAGTAGGAAAGGCACGAACTGGATGTGGCAATCGCGTCCAGACCGGGCGGGGACGAATAGTCTCGGCAACACGCGTCGCGCCGCATCGCGACGAGAAGCGCGTCTCAAATGCGGCCGCGTTGGGGAAATCGATCGGCGATCACGTCGCCGCCGACGTCGTTGTCGCGCCGTCCCCTCGATGACGGTCGCCCGCACGTGATCGAGCGAATCGGACGCGCGGACTTTTACCGAAACCGGTTTTCTACGCAACGTGCGCCTCGCGAGAGAACGATTTGCGCGCGTGAGCCGCACGGATGTCGTGACTCCTAAAGGAAAATTCGTCCACGACACGTAAGAAACTATCGTGGCAACATTCACTCTTTTCTTTTTTGAATGGATTGCTGACCTTCAAGATCGTTAAAGACTTCTTCTCTCCGATCTTCTTTGTAAGATCTTAATATTCAAATGTCGCTGATTCAGAAAATTAAACATTTTATTTTGAACGAGCAAGAAGAATGCACATTGGAATGCAGTTAGACAGGAGAATGAACATATACGGGCCAGGTATAAGTAAGTGTTAAGGAGGAAAATGCGCCTGAAAAAAAAACTCGTTTTTTTCGCAAGTGTCTTCGTAAGCAGATGTCATTAAGTTTTACATTTCTTTTTCTTTGTTAGATATGTTGCGATGTAAGAAGAAATGCAAATAATAGTACTTGACAACATCTTACAAAACTCTAATTTTTTAAATTTTATAATTTTTTCAATCAATTTCTTATAAACTGAGTTATATATAAGGAGGGTCCTCACACCTATGGATTGGGATCGAATCCGGAAGTTATCGGTTAGGCTGCCTTTCCATGGAGAAAGAAGCCACGGAACGGAATATTGACAGAAAAGAAATGAGGATAACCTTCGTCTTATCTCTTTTCTGTCAATATTGCGTTCCGTTGTTTCTTTCTCCATAGGAAGACAACCTTACACTCTTACATCCTGATTGTATATTTAAGACATTATTAAGTTAAATATATATTTATAAAAAATAGATAAAAATTACAAACGGAATAGAATACATTTTACTCTACAAAATCAATATAAAAATTTGGAATTACAATTTTTTCGATATCCATTCAATTTTCAAAAAAACCTAACATTATCCATTCTAGATCAACAATAAACTTTAATAAACTGGAATAATGATGTGACATTTTTTTCTTAAAGGCAACGGTAATTGTAGGATAATCCTACGATCGTATGAAATAATTATTCGCGTTATACGAATCACGGTTGCGCCGAACTGCCATATTAATGAGTGAAAGCGGGCCTCGCTGTTAACGATTAGATTAGGTTTCCTTTCACTATCATCTGCATCATTCGTTGATTATTAATGAGCTTTTAGAGGAGAATGTCAGGTTTTTTTGAAAATTGAATGGATATCGAAAAAATTGTAATTCCAAATTTTTATATTGATTTTGTAGAGTAAAATGTATTCTATTCCACTTGTAATTTTTATCTATTTTTTAAAAATATATATACAGGATGGTTCTAATAAGAGTTTTTTTTCTAACAAGGGGCAGGCAAGAACTAGAAAAGGAAAATTAGGCTTTAATTTAAAAAATTTTTGCAAATAACTTGAAAGGTGTTTATTAACTAAGTAAAATATGAGTGCATAATTCCTTGATTTCTATTGGAAAATTAACAATTGTTCAAAATTGTGTGACATACTGTATCGAAAGTTATTTTATGACCACTGACAGTTATCTAATGAACAATGAATGTAGTGAAACATCTAACGTTTAACTTTCGCGTATTTCCGGTTTAAGTCCTATCAATGAATCTTTCTTTTGAATAAAATATTAGAATATTTTTTTACAATGATAAGTAAATTGTTAAAAAATACAAAAGTTGAAAATTTTATTTTTTTTATACCATATTTATTAATAAACAAGTTTAATCTATCAAAGGTGAAATTTATAATAAAAGCAATTGAAACTTAATATTTTATTATTATTATTTGTTATATACACCATAGCTGATGTAGAACATCGTCACACAAGTTTTCAGATCACGTTTCTTTGGTTTGAATCCGGTTTGAATCTTATCAACGAATATTTTTTTCTTTCAAAATATTAAAATTAAATATTTTTAGAAAATAGATTTGGATAAATTTGTCATAAATATTTAATTACAAGTATTGAAATTTTTTACATTTGATTTATTGATATCAAAGTTCATTGTCACTGTCACCAAAAATATCGAGCAGTTTTTTTTTTTGTTACGTAACTCAATATTGTAAAAAAATTGTATTTTATTATATAATAGAGGAATATTTGTTATAAACTCATTAACACATTATGACAAGATTTAACTAGTTGGACACTACTCAGATATTAGTTAACACAATCATCTCATAGTAGGAATCATCAATTAGATTTACTTGCAATTAGTTTACATAAATCCTAGTATTCAACAATAATTTAGGTATTTAACTTAAATTTGATAATGAGGATATTGACCAATAGGCAAATATCTACAAGTATAGCTTTAAACATTTTACTTATTGTCCCTTACGACAGATTGTAAATTAACCTTGGAGATAATAAAAAAAAATAACAGAGAGAGAGTAAACTTTTATATTAATAAATAAGATTGGATTATCAGGTAACTTTTTTTAGTTTTATTACCTGAGCTATAGTGAATATTCAATAGAGGAAACGGTGATATTATGGCAGTGTATATATTGTGGCCTCTTTTAATATCTCCGCTATTATGTAGCGAATCCTTGCTATTATGTAGCGAATGATTACCTTATGGAATTATTAGTTCAGTAGCTCGCCGTTACACCATGACGCTAATATTACCAATACTCAATAACCAACACTTATTATAACGCATTTTTACTTTCAAGTATTTCGAAATGTTTCTGAGGTACACTTTAGCATTTAATTACACCTATTTCCTCGTTTTTCTTAAACTTGAGCGTATTATCACATGAATATATGTATATTTGTGTTATTTGCTATTTAACATTTTATTCGACTGTATATATTTTGAGTTATGCAAATTTAAACAATACCATGACATTTTACTAATGTAGCCTTCTATGAATATTGATTACTTACGACTTCTTTTTTGAGGTTTTCGTATCAAAATAATTATTTGATAATCGATTGTAGCTTTACTGTTAATCTATAGTTTATATCACGTGTACTATTTTTAGTACAGAGATTTTTATTACTGAGCATCTTATATGTAGAAGTTATGTGAATGTATATACATTCATTTTTGCATACATTTTAAAATGTTTTTGTTAATTTTGTAACCAAATATTGTTTTCTAAACAAAACAAATATTTTAAGGCTATTTTTATGGAAGGCCACATTACCACCCATTTTTTTCTTTAAATCATTATGCAATGTTGCCACATATTTATTAATAGTATCCTAAGTAATTAATATTTTGTAACTTTGAGTCCAGAATCGATTCAACAACATTTTAACGAATGTAATTGTCAAGTTTTAAACTTAAATATTGATCATTAACAAAGTTATTGTATAAAATGTAACTGGGGTGCCATAATACCACATTTTTTTCTATAATAAATTGACTAAAAACGACTCTTGAGTCTAATCTTGTGTTAAATTCAGAGCATTATGATCTTGAGTATGATCTGATTTTAAATAACTTTGTTAACTTTTTAAGCTTTTATAACAAATTTATATAAATCTATCTATATAAATCGTCTAAAAAAATTTATTCATTTAAAAAAAAATTTAGCATTTCGAAAAAAAAAATGTTTCCCGGTAGGATTCGAATCAGTTTCTACATGAATGAACTTGGCCAGAAAAGATGATGGTTCTACCATCTGAGCTACGAGTGCACATGAACATATTATTGTACGTACGAGATGATCCTTTTTCTTCCCTTGGCTTCCCGACCTTTCCTAGGAATGCCATTGAAACGATCTTTGAATAGGTATGCGACTTAATATTGAATTTTTTTTGTTAAAAGGAAGGAGATTATGCGCATGACTAATATTCTGCCGTGCCTATAATTAATAAGAATTTTTTGCTATTTGCATTTTAAATTAAGGGGGTTTCTACTTTGTTGGCCAGGAAAAATGGGTAATTTTTAGGAATTTATAGAAAAGAAATTATTAAAGATAAAATTCTCAAATTTGGAATACATTTAAATTTATCTTAATTAAACATAAAAAAATCGCTACAACAATTTAAATAATAGACAAGTTGGGTGGGCCGGGTGGGCGAAGTGTGCGGTGGAACGAGTGGCGGCCAGCTGGTGGAAGTTCTTAGAGACTCAAAAGTGATCTGAAAAAATAAAACAAAAATTTTTTTATAATCTATAGAGGTTTGTGCTTCATATAGACTAAAATAAAAAAATTACAAAAATTTTTAAGTAGGCTATAGTCATTCAAACAAAATTTTTTTTTACGAAAAATTGTTGCAGTTATTTATTCATAAAAAAAAGTTTTCAATATTTTCTCTTTATTCTAGTTTACTTTAGAGAGGTATTTGCGAACATTTTAAACCCAAAATCATATCGATCACATGATTTGGGACTTGTATAGAACTTCCATCAACTTGAAAAACCCGTTTAAAGTTTAAAGGGCAATATGACAAAAGAAACCTAAACAAAAGAGGAACGACGCGCAGATAAGTAGCGCTCTATCCTAGCCTTCCGAAAGGGTTCTTGATTCTTCAACAGGCTGTAATTCGACCAATTTTTCGAATTTTGACTTGAAACTTTTATCACATATTTTTTAAAAGTACAATCTTTAAGAAAAAATATGTAAAAAAATCAATTTTTTTGACCCAACAAGATAGAAACCCTCCTTAAATTAAATTTATTTAATTTTATAAATGAAATTATTTAAACGAACTTGTGTTGTGTAGCTCGATAGAATATAATTCAATACTTAAAAAAAGAGCTTTTCGAGCTCGGTGCCACGCACTGGCAGGGATAGTGTCTCGGCGTTCGGCGCGCAACGCTACACACTCGTACCGAAGCGCACACGTACGTGTTACTGGAAGCGTTGGAGGCGAGGAGCGCGAAGAGAGAAAGTAGTGGGGGGCGCTCCGATATTCTGTCCTTGGCGCAAGGCGCACGATTGAGAGAGAAAGCGTAATTGGACGTTATGTCGGCTCGTGGTGTCCTTTCGGTGTCTCACACATTTGTTACTAGTACGAGTGAGATACATCGATGATATTCATAATAATACTTTTATTATGCACAAAATGTTGTAATTATGCATAAAAATTTTTAATACTGTAAAAAATTTTTGTGCATAATTACAACATTACGTGTAATTTTGAGTCTCATTGTAATAGCTTTGCATGCACTTATAAATTTGCAGTGTGCAAATGAAATTAATATTTTGTATCGCAAGATTGCAAAATTAAATTTACAGTTAAATATAAGAACACATAATAAAATAAATAAAAAAA